CTATCTACCTGCGACTTCACTTTCAAGAAACAGTGAACCTGCACCTCAAGGTCTCTTTGTTCAGCAACACTCCCCAGGATCTTACCATTAAGTGTATAAGTCCTGCCCTGATTTGCCTTTCCAAAATGCAGCACCTCACATTTATCTAAATTAAACCCCATCTGCCACACCTCAGCCCATTTGATCAAGGTCCCATTGTACTCTGAGGCAACCTTCTTTGCCGTGCACTACAGCTCCAATTTTGGTGTCTTCTGTAAACTTACTATCCATACTTCCTATATACATATCTAAATCATTTATATAAGTGATAAAGCAGCAGGTCCAGTATCAAACCTTGCAGCACACCACTGCTCACAGGCCTCCAGTCAGAAAAGCAACCCTCCACCACTACCCTCTGTCTCCTACCTTCAAGCGAATTTTGTATCCAAATGGCTAGTTCTCCCTGTATTCCTTGTTATCTAACCTTGCTAACTTGTCTATTATGTGGAACCTTGTTCAATGTCTTTCTGAAGTCCACATAGGCAATGTCCACAGCTCTGCCTTCATCAGTCTTCTTTGTCACTTCTTCAAAAAACTCAATCAAGTTAGTGAAGCATGATTTCCACGCACAAAGCCATGTTGACTATGCCTAACCATTCCTTGCCTTTCCAAATACATGCAAATCCTGTACCTCAGAATCCCTTCCAACAACTTGCCCGCCAATGACTTCAGGCTCTCCGGTCTGTTGTTCCTTGGCCTTTCCTCACCACCTTTCCTAAATAATTGCACCCGTTTTCCAGCACTTCACTTGTGGCTATTGCTGATACAAATATATCAGCAAGGGGCCCAGCAATCACTTACCTAGCTTTCCACAAAGTTCTGGGATGGACCTGATCAGGTCCCAGGGATTTATCCGCTTTTATGCAATTTAAGACATCCAGTGACTCCTCCTCCTCTGTAATATAGACACTTTCAAGTTCTCACTATTTATTTCTCCAAATTCTCTAGCTTCCCTACCTTTCTCCAGTAAAATCTGACATGAAATACTCGCATAGTATCTCTCCCACCTCCTGCAGTTCCATAGATGGACTTGTTGATCTTTTAGGGGCCCTATTTGCTGCCTAGTTACTCTTTTATCTTTGATGTATATGTAGAATCTCTTTGGATTCTCCTTAAACCTATTCCCAAAGCTATCTCAGGTCCCCTTTATGCCCTTCTGATTTCCCTCTTGAGTATACTCCTAATGCACTTATACTCCTCCAGGGATTCACTCGAACCCAGCTGCGTATACCTGACATATGCCTTCTCCATTTTTTTGACCAGTGCCTCCATTTCTCTAGTCATCTAGCATTCTCTACACCCAACTGCCTTGCCTTTAACAGGAACATACTGTCTCTGTACTCTCGTTGTCTCATTTTTGAAGGCCTGTGCAGGCAATGGCAGGTGAAGACATAGAAACGATCATTATCACTAAAGAGGTAGTATTGGGCAGCTAACGGCTCTAGGTAGACACGTCTCTTGGCCCTGATTGAATGCATCCCAGGGAACTAAAAGAGATGGCGGGGTAAATAGCAAATGTGCTCGTGACAATTCACTAAAAATTTGCTGGATTCTGGGATGGTTCCGGCAGATTGGAGAACAGCAAATGTGATGCCACTATTTTAAAAAAAGGAGGTGGACAAAAGGTGGTAACTATAGACCCATTAGCTTTACTTCTGTAGTGGGGAAACTGCTTGAATCTATCAAAGATAAAACAGCGAGACATCTGGATAGAAATTGTCCCAACCAGCAGACACAGCATTTAGTCATGAAAGGCAGGTCATGTTTAACTACTTTACTGGAATTCTTTGAGGATCTTACAAGCACAATGGTCAATGGGGAACCAGTGGATGTGGTGTATCTGGATTTCCAGAAGTCATTTGACAAGTTACCACACCAAAGGCTGCTCCAGAAGATAAGGATGCACGGCGTTACGGGTAACGTATTAGCATGGATAGGGAATTGGTTAACTAACAGGAAGCAAAGTGTGGGGATAAATGGGTGTTTGGATTAGTGTTGGGACCGCAACTGTTTACAATTTACCCAGATGATTTGGAGTTGGGAAACAAGTATAGTGTGTCATAGTTTGCAGATGACACTAAGATGGGATGTAGAGCAAAGTGTGCAGAGGCCACTGTAAGTGTGTAGAGGGATACAGATAGGTTAAGTGAGTGGGCAAGGGTCTGGCAGATGGAGTACAGTGTTGGTAAATGTGAGGTCATCCATTTTGGTAGGATTAACAGGAAACTGGACTCATCTTAATGGCGAAACATTGGTGCATACTACTCTGCAGGAGGATCTAGGTGTCCTTATGCATGAATCCCAAAAAGTTGGCTTGCAGGTGCAGCAAGTAATTAAGATGGTGAAAGGAAAGTTATGCTTCATTGTTAGAGGGATGGGGTTAAAAAACAAGGAGATTATGCTGCAGCTGTATAGGGTTCTGGTGAGGTTATGCCTGGAGTATTGTGTGCAGTTTTGGTCTCTTTACTTCAACAAGGATGTACTGGCACTGGAGGGAGTGCAAAGGAAGTTTACTGGTTTGATTCTGGAGTTGTGAGGGTTGGCTTATGAGAAAAGATTGAGTAGACTGGTACCACACTCGTCAGAATTTAGAAGAATTGTGTGGGGGCGTCTTACAGAGAAATATAAAATTATGAAGGGAATAGATAGGATAGAAGCAGGGAGGTTGTTTCCACTGGCGGGTGAACGAGACAGCATAGCCTCAAAATAAGGGGGAGCAGATTTAGGTCTGAGTTGAGGAGGAACTTCTTCAGCTAACGGGTTGTGAGTTTGTGGAATTCCCTGCTGAGTGAAGCAATTGAGGCTACGTTCTTGAATGTTTATAAGGCAAAGGTAGATTTTTGAGCAGTAAAGGAATTAGGGATTATGGTGAGCGGGCAGGAAGGTGCAACTGAGTCCATGAAAAGATCAGCCATGATCTTATTGAATGGCGGAGCAGGTTCAACGGGCCAGATGGCCTACTCTTGCTCTTATTTCTTATGTTCCCACTTTCCAGCCGTCCCTTTACCTGTGAATACCTCCCCCCAATCAAACTTTGAAAGTTCTTGCCGTGTACTGTCAAAATTAGCCTTTGTCGAATTTAGAACTTTAACTTTTAGATATGGTCTATCCTTTTCCATAACTATTTTTAAACTAATAGAATCATAGAATCCCTACAGCATGGAAGCAGGCCATTTGGCCCATCAAATCCGCACCGACCCTCTGAAGAGCTTCCTACCCTAGCCCTGTAACGCTGCATTTCCCATGGCCAATCCACCTTGCCTGCACATCCCTGGACACTATGGGCAATCCATCCAACCTGCATATCTTTGGAGTGTGGGAGGAAACCGGAGAACCTGGAGGAAACCCACGCAGACACAGGGAGAATTTGCAAACTCCACATGGAGTGTGGAAGGCTGGAATCAACAACAGCAGAATTGTATTCCAGCACAATCTGTAATCTCATGACCCCGTACATCCCACACGTAACCATTAACATCAATCCAGGGAATAAGTGCTGGTTGAATGGATAGTACAGGAGGGCATGCCAGGAGCTGCACCAAACACACCTAAAAATGAGGTGCCAACCTGGTAAAGTTACTAAACAGGACCACCTGCATGCCAAACAGCATAAACAGCAAAAGACGGAGCTAAGCGATTCCACAACCAACGGATCACATCTAAGCTCTGCAGTTCTGCTACACACAGTCGTGAGTGGTGATGGACAATTAAACAACTCACTGGAGAATACACCACAAAAATCACCACCTTTACTGGAGGAGCCCAACACATTCACACAAAAGACAAGACTACAGCACTTGGAGCAATCTCCAGCCACAAGTGCCAAGTGGATGATCCATCTCCAGGCTTCTCTAGAGGTCACCAACATTACAGATGCAAGTTTCCAGCCAATTTGATTCATTCCACATAATATCAAGAAATGAACTCATAGTGCAAAGGCTACAGGCCCTGCCAACCTTCTGGCAATAGTACTGATGACTTGTGCTCTAGAACCTGCCACCCACCAAGCCAAGCTGTTCCAGTACCTCTACAGCACAAACATCTACCGACAATGTAGAACATCGCCCGGGTATGTGTTCAGCACCAAAAGAACAGAGTAAATACAACCCGGCCAATTTCCCCTCCATCAGTCTACTTTTGATCATGAAAGTAAATGAAAAGTGTCATCAACAGTGCTATCCAGCAGCAGCTGCTCAGCAATAACCTGCTCAGCGACATCCAGCTTCGATTCCGCAAGGACCACTCAGCTCTTGGCTTTATTACACACTTCATTCACAAATTGACAAACAGCTGAATTCCAGGGGGTGAGGTGAGAGTGACTGCCATGTTCCGCACCAAGATCACCTATTTCCGCTTTTGTGACATCATCCGATTCCACCTCAGTCTCATCCAATCCTGTGTTACCTCTGGACTTAACTATCCAAACACACTCCCAGCCGGCCTCCCACGTTCAATTTCCCTCTAATCTGAAAAACATCTAAAACTCTGCTGCCCACATATTCACTTGTACCAAAACTTGATCCCCCATCAAAAGGCCTCTATTTATAAACAACATTTTAAAATTTGTACACTTGATTTAATTCCTGGTTGTGATCATCCTTATCTCCCTGTACCGCACAACCTTTGAGAGTTCAACAACAGATTTTGTTTCAGACTCCAACAATGCGTTTTTTCATTGCTTCATGACAAGTAGCTGTTTCTATAGTTGCCAAGGCAACAATAGAATTACCACCCTAAACCTCTCAAGTCTGCTTTCCACCTTTAAGACATTCCTGAAAACCTGCTTATTTGGTAATGATTTTGGTCACCTGTCTTAATATCTCCATCTGTGGCCTCACGTCAAAAGTTCCTTGAGAATATTTTTGTCAAATTATACACGTGATAAAAATACAAACCGTTGTTGATTTGGACATTTCATAAACTTTTCACTGTCGCTGGGTGAATGATTTGTAACTTCTTACCTAAAAGCACTGTGGAAGGACCATCACCATACAAACTGCAGCAGTAGAAGGAAGTCGAACATCACCTTTGCCTCAGGCATCAGGGGTCTTGGCAATGATTGCTGGTGTCTGTGGAGGAAGAAACAGTTGATATTTTAGGGAGTGCAAAATGAATTACGGACAAAGAAAATGGTGCAGAACTTGATGGTCAGAAATAGAAGGGAAATAGACTCTCTCGCTGGAAAAAGAATGCCTGACTGTGAAAGATATTGTGGAAAACGAATCTGGTAACAGAGCAGCACAAGATCTGTGAAAGTAACAGTAAAATACTAAACAGAGCTAAAAGATACTCAATTATTAGAGAGTGAAGTTAGATATTGACAAAAAGGTGATCAAGGAGCACAGAGGTGAATTAGAGCAGTGTTGGCTGTTATGATCCTACGGTCTAGGAAACAAATCCAGAAGAAACAAAAATTTCCCTTGGTTTCAATTTGCTCTGTTTAAATCCTCCCCTTGCACTCTCCGCCAAGGAAGGCTGCGCATGTGTCCCGCTGCAGCTTGCCCCCTACAAAGTTGGCGGCTGCGCATGCGTCCCTATGATCATTGCCCACCAATAAAAATGGCGGCGGTCAGTCGGGCCTGTCACCGTTTGAAGCGTTTATTCGTTTTCTGCAAACAGAGGCCGAGGGAGTTTCATATTTGTGTTTTCCGACGTGTACCAAATGTTATGTAAAACTTCCAAGCTCATAAGAACATAATTTTTCTGCCGTTTAACTTTCTTTAACATGTCCTGCTCTTTCCTCAACTACGCAAACCTCAGTATCAGCGACTCTGCACAGTTCGCGTGGAGGATCACGTGGCTTACACTGGTCCTGCCCCTTGTTTACTCCGATTGGTTGGAGGAGCAGCTGCCTCCGCCCTGTTGTCTAGCACCGCCCCTGTGCTCCTATTGGTCCCGCGCTGATATCAATCACCCGGGTCCCCGAACGTAAACTGGAGCATGTGGAGTGCTTCTTGTTGTCATCAGAGTCTTGCATTTTCAGTCCAGGAGAGAAACGAATCTTAGAACTACATTGAGAAGATGTACACTAGAGATCCTGGGATTTTAATAAGCTTGAAAGGGCTTCCTGCAGCTAAAAGCTAAAGATAGCTCTTGATACTGCTCTGTCAGCGAAGAGAGAAATGTTGGTGAAATAAGTGTAATAAATACAGGCATAGCAGTCCTCAGGTAAGATGTCACAAGGTTGTCATAAAACAATATTTGATACCAGGCACTTTTGGCCATATTAGGACAAGTGACCAAAAACTGGCCAAAGAGGAAGGTTTTAAGGAGTATCCTGAACAAACAAAGGGACTTTGAAAATCAGGGATGTTTAGGGAGTAAATTCAAGAGCTTATAGCCTTGGAAACTGAAAGCATTAAAAAGAGTTAAAACCAGAAATCCGCAGGAGGTTGGAAGTCAGGGAGAACAAATATCTCGAAAGAAAAACCAAAAGAACTGTGGATGCTTGAAATTAGTAACACAAACAGAAATTGATGAAAAACTCAGTATGTCTGGCAGTGCCTGTGGAGAGAAAGCAGAATTATCGTTTTGGGTCAGGTGACCTTTCTTCAGCTAGATCTCAGAGGGTTTTGAGGCTGGAGGGATTATCAAAAGGAGGTGTGATGGCAAAATTTCAAAATAAGGATATGAATTTCAATATCTTGGTGCTTTGCCACCCAGAAAATGTGTGTTAGTGAGCACAGGATGGAAAAGCACCAAGATATTGAAATGGTGAGAGTAAACACATGAGCAGCAGATTTTTGGATGACCTCAGGATTATAGAGAAGTGGAACTTAGGAAGGCGGCTTGGAGTGTGTTTGGGGAGTTTAGTCAAGAGGTAACGAAGGAATGGATGAGAGTTTCAGCAGCCGATGAACTGAGATGTTACTGAGGTTGAAATGTATGTGGTCTTTGTGATGATGGGGTGTGGGCGTGTGTAATGTGGTTGGAAATTCACATAGAGGTGAAATATTGCACAATATTTGTGAGCAGTGTGGTTCAGCCTCGGCCAGTTACCAGGGAGAGGGATGAAGTCAGTGGTGAGGGAGTGGATTTTGGCTCCCAGCCTTGGATTGACATGTAGCATTGTCTGTTTAAATGTGATATACACCCCTTTCCAAGCAGGAGCGGACTCGCAGTAGAGCTGAGTTGTAAACCAATGATCAGCTTTATTGAGACAAAGTGTGGAGATGTTTTTCTGTTGTTAAGCAAACTGCAGTGACAAACTCAGAAAGCTATTTTGAGTTGAATGCGGGTTATACTGAGTATGTCAATAACTAGACAGTGGAGCTCTTAAAGGACATATTGTCGGTTTTGCAGCCTTGGCCTCCAAACTTTTTCTCTGTCTTTAGCTTTTATCTTCTGATTCTAGTTGCTTTCCATTGCACTGCCTGTTTCTATCTCCATCCCAAAATCCACAAACCTGACTGCTCTGGTCCCCATTGTCTCCACTTGCCCCTGCCCCACCGAACTTATCTCCACTTATCTCGACTCCATTTTCTCCCCCTTGGTCCAGGAACTCCCCACCTACATCCGTGACACCACCCACACCCTCCAACTCCTCCAAAACTTCCGATTCCCTGGTCCCCAACACCTCATCTTTACCATGGATGTCCAGTCCTTATACACTTGCATTCCCCATGCAGATGACCTAAAGGCCCTCCGCTTCTTCCTGTCCCGCAGGCCCGACCAGACCCCTCCACTGATACCCTCATTCGCTTAGCTGAACTCGTCCTCCCCCTTAACAACTTCTCCTTCAATTCCTCCCACTTCCTACAGACAAAGGGCGTGGCCATGGGTACCCACATGGGCCCAAGCTATGCCTACCTCTTTGTAGGGTATGTGGAACAATCCCTCTCCCGAAGCTACACTGGCCCTATCCCCCACTTCTTCCTCCATTACATCAATGACTGCATCTGCGCCGCCTCGTGCTCCCACGAGGAGATCGAACAGTTCATCTACTTCTCTAACACCTTCCACCCCAACCTTAAGTTCACCTGGATCATCTCCGATACCTCTCTCTCCTTTCTGGACCTCTCTGGCAACCACCTGGAAACCGATGTCCATTTCAAGCCTGTTGACACCCACAGCTACCGAGAATACACCACCTTTCACCCACCTTCCGCAAAAATGCCATCCCCTATTCCCAATTCCTTCGCCTCCGCCGCATCTACTCCGGAGATGAGGCATTCCACTCCCGGACATCCCAGATGTCCTCGTTTTTCAAGGACCGCAATTTCCTCTCCACAGTGACCGCGTCTCTCACACAACTCATCCCTCACACCCCCTCCCCGCAATAACAACCAAAACAGAATCCCCTGCATCCTCACGTACCACCCTACCAACCTCCAGATCCAACGCATGATCCTCCAGCACTTCTGCCACCTGCAATCTGACCCAGCTACCAAAGACATTTTTCCCTCCCCACCCTTAGCTGCCTTCCGGAAGGTCCCCTCTCTCCGTGACTTCCTTCGCGCTCCACACTCCCCACCAGCCCCACCACCCCTGGAATTTTTCCCTGCAACTGCAGGAGGTGCTACACCTGCCCCTTCACCTCCCCTGTCACCCCTATCCCAGTCCCCAAGAAAACCTTCCACATCAAACAGATGTTCACCTGCACATCTGCTAATGTGGTATACTGTAGCTGCTGTTCCCGATGTGGCCTCCTCCACATCGGGGAAACCAAGCAGAGGCTTGGAGACCGCTTTGTGGAATACCTATGCTCCATTCGTGACAGACGACAAGACCTCCCAGTCACAAACCACTTCAACTCCCCCTCCCACTCCTTGGACAATATGTCCATCCTGGGCCTCCTGCAGTGCCACAACGATGCCACCTGAAAACTGGAGGAACAGCACCTCATATTCCCCCAGGGAACCCTACTACCCAATGGTCTCAATGTCGACTTTACAATCTTCAAAATCTCCCCACTCCTGACCTCATGCCAAGACCAGCCCTCCCGCTCGTCCCCGCCTCCTTGACCTGTCCATCTTTTCTCCCACCTATCCATGCCTCCCACCTCACTGACAAACACCCAGCCCCACATCCTACCTACACTCACCTTTCCTGTCTTCATCCCCGCCTCCTTGACCTGTCTGTCCTCTCTCCACCTATCTGCTCCACTATCTACCTTCTATCACTGCCTCCTCCTCTGTCTATTTAGTTCAGAGCCCCCTTCCCCTCCCCCATTTCTGAAGAAGGGTCCAGACCCGAAACATCAGCTTTCCTGCTCCTCTGATGCTGCCTGGCCTGCTGTGTTCCTCCAGCTCCATACCTTGTTATCTTAGACTCCAGCATCGGCAGTTCCTACTGCCCCCATCACCATCTATGACTGGTTGTAGCAGGATTGTTGGTCTTTTGATCTTGCAATCATTTTGTCCTGTCTGTAATGCGTTAATTCTGCTGTTTGTAATGCAAGCAGTTAAATGCGGTAGCCATAACGGGTTGCCATCAGTTTCAGGTACACATGGTTCTGACCCCTCCATGTTTGCCTGCACTCGTCACTGAACCATTGATCAGCTTCATGGTAATCATAGACTGAGGGATTATCCGGGACAAAAAGTCACAGATTCTGGTGGAATACAATTCTGCTTCTGCTGCTGCTGCTGTGGTTTACATCACCACATGAATGCCCAGTTTTGAGCTGCAATAAGTGCAATGTAATTCAGCTGCCTGTCCCCCAATTCGGACCGAGTCCCCATCACCCTTGTACACAGTGACCTACTCTGTTTTCTGATGTGGTAACACTTCCATTTTAATATTCTCATTCTTCTGACGGTCTTTCCATGGTGTCACGCCTCCAATTTGTCACATTCCTCAAAACCCTTTAACATATTCATCTGAACCTTTTCCTTTCCAGGAAGGGCATCTTCGGGTAGCACAGTGGCTCAGTGGTTAGCACTGCTGCTTCACAGCGCTCGGGATGTAGGTTCAATTCCACCCTCAGGCGACTGTCTGTGTGGAGTTTGCATATCTCCCCGTGTCTGCGTGGGTTTCCTCCAGGTGGTCCGGTTTCCACCCACAGTCCAAAGATGTGCGAGCTAGGTGAATTGGCCATGCTAAATTGCCCATAGTGTTGAGGGATGTGTAGATTAGGGGGTAATAGGGGGATGGGTCTGGATGGGATGCTCTGAGGGTCGGTGTGGACTTGTTAGGCTAGAGGACTTGTTTCCACACTGTAGGAAGGTTTTTAAAGTGAATGTTTCTCTCCCTGACCATGATTAAGAGCTCTGTAGTGTCAATGATGCCAGCGTTATGTCTTTTGGAACCAATGCATTTGTGCACCTTGCGCTGTCATTCACTTCTCAGTGTATGGTGATCCATGTTGGACAGGGTGTTTGAGCAGCTTTCACACACATTTTTGGAATTTATTCAAAAACACAAATTGCTGAAGAAACTAAGCAGGTCTGGCAGCATCTGTAGAGTGAAAGCAAAGTTAAGCTGTTGGATCCAGTGATGCCTTTTCAAAGCTCCCAGTTTCTCCAGCAATTTTCCTTCTTGTTTCAGATTTCCAGCATCCACGGTTCTTTGTTTTGTTGAAAATTCAGTTAGTGCCGATTCATTTCTGGAGAAACTCAGGTCTAGAGCATCTGTGGAGACAGAGAAACAGAGTTAAGGTTTTAAGTCCAGCGAGATCCTTCTTCAGAACTGAAAAGGGTTGGAAAATGGTCTTTTTAATACCTTGACAGAGGTGGAGGAGGGGTGACAGAAAACAGAGGGTGTGGGGTTGCAGTGCAAAATACAAACGGGCTTTTAATTGTGGTGAAAGAGAAGCAGATGTACAATGGGAGTAAATAATGGTGTGAACTTGGAGATGG